ACTGCGAAAAAAGATATTGAGAGAGGCACATAGTTCTCCGTACGCCATCCATCGTGGTAGCTCGAAGATGTATCAGGACTTGAGGAAATTTTTATGGTGGCGAGGCATGAAGAGGCAGGTGGCAAGGTTCGTGAATGGATGCCTGGTGTGTCAGCAAGTGAAGGTTGAGCATCAAAAACCGATAGGGTTGTTGAAGCCCCTTGAGGTTCCCATGTGGAAATGGGAGTGCGTCACCATGGATTTTTTGGTGGGATTGCCGAGGTCGAGGACCGGGCACGATTCTATGTGGGTGATTGTGAATTGACTCACGAAGTCTACCTACTTTTTGCCCGTTCGGACGACTATGAAGGCTAGTCAGTATGCCGAGTTATTCGTAGACGAGATTGTTAAACTACATGGGATGCCCGTGGAAATCGTGTCTAATCGAGATGTGAAGTTCACCGGCCAGTTCTGGAAGACTCTGCACCGAGCCTTGGGGACGAGGCTGGAGTTCAGTACAACTTTTCATCCTCAGACAGATGGTCAGTCGGAGCGGACAATCCAATACTTGGAGGATATATTGAGGGTTGTGGTCTTGGACCGGAGCCTGACTTGGGAGAGTGCCTTACCTTTGGTCGAGCTGACTTACAACAACAACTACCACTCCTCGATCAAGATGGCCCCGTTCGAGGCTTTGTACGGACGGAAGGTCCGAACACCCTTGTATTGGGATGAGGTTGGGGAGAGGAAGATTATGGGTCCGGAGTTCATCCATAGAGCTTCGGAGACAATTGAGGCTATCCGGAAGCATATTTGGTCTGCCCAAGAGAGGCAGAAAGTCTATGCCGATCGAAAAAGGCAGGAGCACGAGTATGCAGTAGGTGATCATGTCTTCCTGAAGGTCTCGCCCATGAAGGGCGTGATTCGCTTCTGGAAGAAGGGGAAACTTAGACCTCGCTATATCTGGCCATTTGAGATCCTTGCTCGAGTCGGGGACTTAGCTTATCGGCTGGCTTTACCACCGGCTTTATCGGGAGTGCATGATGTGTTTCAAGTCGCGATGTTGCGGAGATATGTGCATGATCCCGATCACGTGGGACTTCGGCGAGCTACAGGTCGAGCGAGACCTTACCTACGAGGAGGTACCGGTGGCCATTTTGGATCGGAAGGTCCATCAGTTGAGGAACCGGGCAGTGAGTCTCGTGAAGGTGCGATGGAGCCGACATGACGAGTCCGAGGTGACTTGGGAGAAGGAGGCCGAGCTTAGGAGGCGATATCTGAACTTTGTGTTCTGACTTTCCCTTTGTATTTCATTGCTTTCTAGTTTTATATTCGAATTTCGAGGACGAAATTCTTTGTTGGATAGACTGTAATACCCCTTTTGATTATGGATTGTTTGAGATTAATTATTTTGCATTATTGTTATTATTATTTATAGTTAATGTCTAATTGCCTAATTGAATATTGATGTTATTATTATTATTATTATTATTATTATTATTATTATTATTATTATTATTATTATTATTATTATTATTATTATTATTATTATTATTATTATTATTATTATTAGTATTATTATTATTTTTATTATTATTTGTACTAAATGCCTAAATGTTATTAAATGTCTAAATACATATTATTATTATTAAATAAATATTATTTGTGTGTATTATATATGATTATTATATATTAATAATTATTGTGCATTATATATATATGTAATTATTAATGTTCCGGTTTTATTTTAATTTACCGTTTGATCGAACCGAGAAAATCCGGCCCGTGTGCCACGAACCCACAACTGAGCCGGCTATGACCCATAACCGGTCTCTCTTTATTATCTTAAAATGGCCAAAGTAATTAAGGCATTTAAATTTCTCATTAATATTACTATTATGGCCTTAATTTCCTATCCGTTGAAAACATAAAATCTCTTCACCTTTAAACATGGTTCCTTTTTCTTCCTTATTCCCTCAAGCTCACACGGTCATCTCTCTCTCTCTGAAACTCTCCCCCTCGCCCAAACCACTCCTCACAATATTTCGATCACGCTCAAATAAGAGGAAATCTCATGTAAACTCATCATCTCGCCATCAACATCGCGCGACCCCTGCTCAGTTTTCCTGCGCCTCTGTTTATTCCGCCATAACCTCTTGAGCTTCCATATTTTCCGGCGAGAGCTCCATATTTCTGGCGAGAGTACATTCCAGCAAGTCCGTTCTTCGAAGCCACCAACCGAGCGAAAGCCGTCGAGCATCCATGCGCATGTTTAAGTCCCAAGTCCCGCACCATATAAACGACCCGTCTTTCCGATTTGTTTCCCAAAGAAGGGTAACATTTTTGAACCTTTTCATCATTTCGTTCATGCTCAGATATCGTGATGTTGAATATATGTCGTACGTGCTATCGAATTTTTGTTTGAAGTCGGGATTCATTTAGTTTTGTCGATATATTCGTTTATTTAATCGTTCATGCTATCGTGTCTTGTCGGGGATGATTCGAGCTTTTGTTTGCGTAAAAACGAGTATTATTATGTCCATTGCATATGGAGCTGGAAGAGTCATTGTTGACAATTCTCCTGGCATAGTGCTAATAATGGACTATATCAAAATGGCTCAATTAAATTCTAGTGCTTCTTCTATTAGTGAAGTTTCTAGAAAAAAATATATCAAACGACGCAACGCACCTTGGGTCGCTATGGAAACAGCCTCCTTGTATAATTACAAGGGTAAGGTCGGCGTACAACTGACCCCCCAGACCCCAACCTGTTGGGAATATACTGGGTATGTTGATGTTGATGATGTTGATGTTTATGTGATTATTTCAGTTTGCTTCGGAGTCTCTATATCATTTTTTGAGTTGTCGTTTTACCGTTTGTTCGATTTGTTTATGACATGAGTTATCTCGAAAAATACAGCTCTGTTGTGCTGCTAATATGGCCTTCATAAGTTTGTTATCTAAAGTTGAGTTCTTCGTATGAAATGAAGTTCATTTTGTTGGCTTTCTCTGAGATTTGGAATTTCAAAATGTGGAGTTGATTTGAATTTATTACGAATTTTTTAAGTTGTACATGCATGCAGTTTTTTTTTTGTAATTTTGGGCAGATTAGTGGATCATGATGTTGGGTTGTTTTTGGTGATCTTAATATGGCTATGTGAAAATATGATCATAATAAAACATGTAGCACATGTTATAAGTTTTAATTAGGAGTTAAAATCATACAATTTGGAGTTTTGGTTGATTTTTTATGATTTTTCAATGTTGGGTTTATGCCTAGTATTTTTAAAACCGTGGTTGTGTATATGATTTGAATGTATGTTCTGAAATGAAGCCCTTAACGTGATTATTTGTAAAATTCTCTTCATGAAATTAATAGCTTTCCTTATGTAGTTTCTCCAAGTTTTGAGTTTGTATGATTTGGAATTCTATAACTTGAGTTATTGTCGTTTTAATGAAGTGCTGTAAATTGATAAATGGTTATTCTGACAGATTCCTTGACCTTAGTGTTTTATGCTTAAACTCGGTTTTAAAGCTATTGTTGGCTTAAGTGATCAACATGAAAGTTGTGGATATATGTGTTACCTACTCATTGGTTTTGGAATCACCTGAATAGCATACTTGTAACTCCTATTATCTTGGAAATATTGAGTCTATGCGAGTTCGTTGTGCAAACATGCTATTCTGAACTATGTGGTTGAGTGATATCGCATGAGTGTAGTTATAAGTGTTCGTGTGTCGGATAGTTTTTCATAGGACTCTTTTGTGTAATGTAGGTGTTTGACGAGTTGTGTTCTCGTCCTACCTTTTTCCCCCCGATTTTCTGTGATTTCTTTCTCCGGTTACCAGGTGGGTTTAATTATGAAATTGCTATGCTTTAATTAATTGTTTTGTTGTGGTATGATCAATGTGTGCATGTGGACCATGTAACCTTCGATGTGAATTGTACCGACCGTCGAATGGTTATCCCCGTAGCTATAGAAAGTACCTTCGGGTAGTCTCCTTTATTATTGTTGGTAGTCATGGCGTGAGCCTTGGCTGGTGATCCTCGTTGGTAAGTCCAAGGCGAAAGTCTTGGCAATCGGGGTGGATTTACTCCTGCTGGCCGGGCACTCGTAGTAATACCTTAGATAAGGCATTAGGTATATAGCTCGGCAGTAGTATATTGCTATAGGTGTGCACATGAGACGATTATTAGTTATTGATAGGAGATGGGACGATTATTGATTCGCATACATGCTACGACCATACCTAAAATATTTATTGATTACTGAATATTAATTATTGTAAAGTGGTGAGCACCTCGATTTTCCTATTGTGCTCACCCTCACCTGCTCTTCATGGATGCAGTTTAGTGTTGCAGGCACGGCAGAGGGAAGCGAGTTGTGGTCCTAATAAAATGTTTTTGCTTCCGCCTTGAATTGAATATTGCTTTTATTATTATTGGATTACTGATGGAGAATGTTTCCCTAGGATATTGAGAATATTGGATTGCATTATCGAATATTGGGATTTTATTATTGATTATGAGGATTGATGATTGTTTGAATATTGAGAAATTGTTAAGTGCTGATATTGTTTCAAAAATGAGTAGCGCCTCAAGTATTGTTTTGAATTAAATTTGAAAAAATTATTCTGAATTTTGACAAATAAAAGTGGGGCGTTTATTAGAACCATAACACAAATGTACCATGCGAATTTTAAATCAGTAGACGAAACACAAATGGTGACATCAAAAGTTAATGCTAGGCGAGCAAATTATTCCAGAAAGCGAAAAGATCTTGAAACTTGATAATGTAGATATATTCATTTTACATAATAAATTTGTATCAATCAAAACAAAATACCCATAGTAGGTTCATTAATAAATACTATGAAAAGGCCGCAAGTAATGAATCGTATAAGCTATAGATTGAAGATGACAATAGTACTTTTTTTATTCTTAAAAGAAGAAAAGTAAAAAGCTACCTAAAAACTTTGGATTATTCACACAATCCCCACATCCATAACAATAGCATTTGTCAAGAATTCAAAGACCAGTCATACTTGTGATAAACTATGCTGATAGCGCCTCCATCACTCAAGAGATGTGTCAGAAGACCAGCCTTACTCGCATCCAAGAAGCTCATGATCCACTCGAGGATTTCCTTTTCTTGACCAAAATCTGCACTATACCTGCAGGATAAAGATATTCAAATGTGTAGCACTCAAAATAGCTCGATGAACTAACCCGAGAAGTTAGCACAGTTACGGCCGATGCAAGAGAGATTTAGCTCAATTATTACAATTAAATATATATGGTATTATTTAAATACCAATAAAGATTTAGAAAACATTTCCAAGACATATCAAAGCAAGTTGTGTATATCTACCCAATGGTTCTGAAAGATCAGACTCTTTGGTTATTAAGGAAATCTCTTGTATTGGGGAGTAAATCATTAAACCCATTACAAATGTTCAATTTTTAACATAAGATCTCAATAAGTTTCTCAATTACAGTATGTTGGATATATAATTTTTTTTACTTGAGCGTCGGATTGTTTATAGGCCACGACAGTTTTGTAGATTGATCCAGTTCATGGTACCAAGTTTCCAAGACTAGATGATTCGATCGAAAATCTTGGTCAGCTGATATTTCGATCACATCAAATTGGCGTCGTCTGTAGACAAATCCATGAACTTGATGGAAGATCATGAGGTAGAGTGGAAGAGGACCTGTTGCTTGCTCTATTATGTGTGATGCTTGGACGGATAGTAAGCAAAGATGCATCATTAATTTCTTGGTGAATTCGCAAGTTGGTGCAATGTTTTTGAAGTCTTTCGATGCTTCTGACTTTGTCAAGGGGAAAAAATTATTTGAACTTCTCAATTCTCTTGTAGAGGAGATTGGAGGAGAATGTTTTCTAAGTTATCACAGACAATGGGAGCAATTATGTGGCCGTCGACAAGTTGTTGGATGGCAAAAGATCACATCTTTATTGGATTCCTTGTACAGCTCATTGCCTTGATCTCATGCTTGAAGACATCGAGAAGCTTCCTTTGATAAGGAAAACCATCAAAAGTGGAATAAACCTTGTGGAGTTTATCTATGCCCACTCGAGTACCTTGAGTTTGTTGAGAGGTTTCACAAACAAATGGGAATTAGTGACACACGTGGTCACCAGATTTGCTACATCATTCATCTCTTTAGAAAGAATCCATCAAGGGAAAGCAAAACTTGGAAGAATGTTTATTTCTGAGGAGTAGAACAAGAACAAATTGTCGTAGGATACCAAGGGAAGGGAAGTGATGAGAGTTGTGCTGCAGCCTTCTTATTCGATGTGGTTTTCACTCTCGGAGTCATGGCTCCTCTTGTTAGAGTGGTTCGCCTTATGGATGGTAAAAAAAAACCAATGGATAAGGCAAAGGAAGCAATTACAAAGTCTTTCAATAACAATGGAAGCAAATACAAGGATGTGTTTGAAATTATTGATAGGAGGTGGAATTGTTGTCAACTTCATTGTCCGTTGAATGCGACCGCCCACTTTTTAAATCCGGAATAGTAGTGGATTCATGGAGTACGTTAAGAGGTTTGTGGTAGACAGAGAGGCCAATAAAAAATAATGACAGAGTCGATACTTTATAAGACCGGGGGTGCTCTCTTTGGAAGTGATTTTGTAAAACAACATTAGACAATCGTTGCTCCTGGTGAGTAAAAAGTACTGTATATTTTTATTTATCAATAATAGTTCAATAAATATTTAAACTTATAAACTTTTATTGTAGATACATGGTGGCGATAGTATGGTTGCCAGAGTGCAAATTTGCAAAAATTGGCGATGAAAATTCTTAGCTTGACATTTAGTGCACCGGGTTGTGAACGCAATTGGAGTGTCTTTAAGTAGGTACTAGTAGTCTTTAACTTTTTTTTGGTAATGATTCGTATTATCCATCATTACTAGTTTCATAATTATTTTAACTAGTATTTTTGTAATTAACTTTATTCTAGATACATTCAAAGAAGAGGAATAGGCTCGAGCATAAGAGGTTGGAATAATTTGGTGTATTACAAATACAATCAACAATTAAAGATATGATTTGATGTTATGGACAATCTTGATCCAATTTCACTCGGTCGTATTGACAATTGTAATGAGTGATTAGTTGGAGAAATGGATGTTGATGACGATGATGGTGTCAGAAGGGATTTGGTATTTGATGGCGATACCTCATTGAATTGGGATACCGTGTATGAGGCTTCAGGGGGATGGAGACCCTATAACGTATACGAGGCAAAATGCTAAAAAAAGGAAGGAGCTATCGGGCGGTGGTTCAAGTACTAGGAACTCCAACCTAAAAAAACAAGCTACACAAGGGAAAGAGAAGGAGAAAATGGTTGAAGATGAGAAAGGGGATTTTGAAGATCAAGATGAGGAATCTCAAGAAGAAGAAGATTTTGTGGATTTGGAAGATTCAAATGGAGAAAAGGATGAGTAGATGCTCTGCTCGATGATAACATGGAAAATGATTGTGTTGAGCTTGAGGAGGAGAATTAGTCATTTGATTCATGTTTTATTTACGTTTTATTTATCCTTGCTTTTGGTTTGAGAATTGGAAGACTTGAACTTGTCAAATGCTTGTCATTTGGATTGTTTGGTGGACTTTTTTTCCTTTGATGTGTGTGGTTATTTTGAACATGTTGAATGATGCTTGATATTTTTCTATGTTGTGAAACTAATGCCTCTTTTTGTGAAATTTACTGACATGTTTTTAGATGATTTTGTGTTCATATCTAAATTTTACATATTTTTTTGTTTGACATGACTTCTGCCATCTTCAGCTACACGTCTGCCATAGAAATATGGCAGTTTTTTAGCTTTCTGCCATGGACCGCCATTCGCCATCGACAACACTGGTTAGCTCCGATGCAGATGGTCCAAGAGAGCTTTAGCTAAGCTTCAGTGCTCAACCTCGTCAGGGTGCTCGCGTATGTAGCTCAAGGCACGGGTTGACTTCCGTAGAGGGCTTGGAGGTCGGGCTCCTTCAAGAGCTCACACAGACAGAGAGACCTCATCTTCTCGATGTCGTAAATATGGAGGTCCTGGTTACGACCAGGTTATAGCTCGAGCAAGTAGCTCGAGTTCCAAACCTTTAAGGAGGAAGAACATCGAGCAAGTAGCTCGAAGGTCACAAGGGCAAGGGAAGTGCAAAGTTCGCCTGGGATCCATGGTTTCACACAAGAGACAGCAGAACTCCGACGTAGTAGACCTTGGGGCCCAAACGAGGCCACGAAATTAATGCCATAGATATGGCTAAGGTATAATTGGTCTACTCTCAAAAAAGTCTTACCCTAACAAGCTCGTCTACAATGGAGGGTGGGGGCGGAGGCTAGATGATGCAACACTTTGAATAGTTCAGTGGACCGGCTTAAGCGTTGTACAGCTGGAAAGGATGACCTAAAAAATCGGGCTTTTCAAGCCCTTAAAGCTGGAGTTTCATCGCCCTTTGGCAAGGAAGCTTTAGCTTGATTATTACTATTTAAAGAGATATGGTATTAGTCAAATACCTATAAATTTTAGGAAACATTTCTCAGAGTTATCCAAGCAAGTTTGTGTATATCTGCACAATGGTTCTGAAAGATCACACTCCTTGATTATTAAGTAAACCTCTTGTCTTGAGGAGTAAGTCAATAAATTATTTATAAATAAAGGACCCATGTTCAATTTTTAATCTAAGCTCTTAATGAGTTTCTTAGTTACAGTTCGTTTGATATATGAGTTTTCGGACTTCAACGTCTGAGTGTCTACGCCAAGGTCCCGCCCTGAAACTTTTGCAGTTGATCCGGTTTGTGGTATGAGAAGATCAACACGAGATGGTTCCACCGGTAACATTGGTGAGTCGATATTTCGGGCACATCGATCCTAAAGAGAACCCCCAATCATCTTTCAATGCTACAGTTTTAGCAATACCCATGCTAACGTTTAATGAAAACATTTTCTTAAAACCCCCATGATGGGGTTTTAAGAATAAATAAATAAAAACAACCTTGAGGAGTCAGTTGCAATAATTGTCAAAAAAAGACAGAATAATTGAGCATGTAAAAAATGGGGGGAAAAATGAGTATTGTCCCACGCAGATGAAGCGCACCAAGACACAGAAAGTCCATATGAAGCTCAAATGAGGTTTCATCCCAAAATCAATTGGTGAAAGGGGTAGTAGTCCACTAGACTTATAAATTAGGCTTATTTTCTCTATATAAACGATATGGGACAACTCACAAGTCAATATCCTAATACGCTCCCTCACTTGTGAGTCCTTCATACGAAGCCCAAGCCCATGTACGGAGCTGGGAGCCCAAGCCCAACTAAGTCGGGAAAAATGAGTACGTCATCGCACGGTCCCAATAGAACCGACTCGAATACCATGTAAGAAAGGGGGGAGAAAATGAGTTCGGTCCCACGCAGATGAAGCGCAACAAGGCAGAGTTAAAAGAGGGGTAGTCCACTAGACTTATTAGACCTATTTTCCCTATATAAACAATGTGGAACAACTCACAAGTAAATATTCTAATAGAGTATGTGATTATCTGATAAAAAAAGAAAAGAAAAAAAAAAGCTAGCAAGTTATATATGATATATTAGTTACCACTTAATAATCCGAGAGAGGTAGACAGTCCTGTTGGCAAGGTCCACTTGCATCCCGTCATCCCTTAGGAAAAACTCCCTTGCGCCATTTCTCAACTCAGATTCAATGGTTTGAGGAGTGAAGAATCTTAGTATGGGGCTACCTCTGGTTGCATTCCATGTCCCGAAATGAATGAATTTGTTGAGTTTGGGAAAAGCCAGCTGGTGCATAAGATGAAATTATTTGTTTGACGAAAATAATTTCATTAATATTTATTATTTGTTTGTAACAGTACCTGCAGGCGCTTGTCAGCATTGCCAAATGGCTTTGTGAGCGAGTATGGCGGTCTTCGGTTGTTTCTGAGAATCCCATTTTTGATAGAGCTTAATGAGTAGGGTTGGCCCCCGACAATGTACATGAATTCAGAATCCATTTTACGACTTATCACAGCAGCGTGCATGGCCATTGCATTGTGCAGGTTTAAAAAGAAGGCCAGCTTTTGTTGATGGGGAAGGCTTAGGAGGTCCATTCTTTGCAAATCCTCAACTAAATTTACATATCTGCAATTTTGTTTTGTTTGAACATTAATGATTGTATACATAATATTTCCACAAGAAAAAAACAAAACAAAACTTCAATTACCTACGAAACTCTTCACTCATGCTAATTCCAATGAAATCTAGATTCCTTCTATCATCAGATGCATAAGTCTCGACTATTGCTGACATTAAGCAACCCAGCCTCTGACTCACACAGGCTGCCGCCTTAGGCTCACAATCATTGACTACACCTCGAAAGTTGTAGCACTTTGGTATGAATGACTCGTGTTCAAGGAACCTGTAAAAGTGGTCCCCATCTTCGAATTCATTTTGGCTGCATACATCCAAACACATTTCAAGTTTGTACTAGCTATCATATCACCACTATATCTTAAATGGTGTGTTAATTACCCGAAAATGTGATGAATAAAATGCTTTCTTGCCAGTTGCTTCCCGATCTCCACCGCCTGATGCATATGCATGGAGAGTTGAAAGCTTCAGAGAGTTATTCATTCAAGTAATAAATTGCAGATGAAGAAGGATACTCCTCACAACCAAGAATAGTTTTTTCTTCAAACGGGTACAACATTTCTCATCTTCATAATAATAAATTAGTTGCATTCATTTAATAATAATAATAATAATAATAATAATAATAATAATAATAATAATAATAATAATAATAAAGGCAAAGGATTTACTTAATATCTATATATATATATAATTGTAGGCTATTACATTAATGCAATAACCTACATTTTCCCGCCCAAAAATTTCGCTCAATATGGTAAGTTTTAATTTCTTTTTACTTTTTGTGTATATCTTTAGTTTTGTAATAAATATTGTAATCTATATATATATAATTACTAGCTAATAGCATTTAATAAAACCTATTTAATTTTACCTACGTGGCAATTTAACCATTTTCCCTCCAAAAACCGTTACTTTTGATGTATTTAATCTTTCATTTAATCATTAAATAATCAACACTAATCACTTCAAAATTACAAAAATCATTTTAAAACTTTTGATTACTTACAGTTACCCATCTAATGTGTTAACCGTACAAAGTGATTAAATGTTATTATTGTGGTTACATTTAAATTATTTTTTTTTAAAAAAATAAAAAACGTATTTGAAATTCCTAAATAAAAAATAAATAATTCACAAAAAAAGATGTACATGACATCCAATAAGATAAACGTAATTTAAAAAATAAATATTCTAACTCCTTTAATTGTAAATTTGGCCAGCAAAAAAGTGAAAGAAAAAAATTATTAATCATTATATGCATACAAATAACTCACAATACTTTATTTACATATGTGCAAATGCACAGGGTCGAATACTAGTATTCATTAAAAGATGTAACAGTTATGTTTTAAAAACTAATTTAATGTGTTATTGTTATATTGGTAATGATAACAAATATGATGTAACCATTACAATATAATATTTAATATTTATTCTTTCAATTGTAAATTCATCTAAAATTTGGGACCTCAAATTACACATAAACAATTATTAGATGAAATATATATATATATATATATATATATATATATACATATAATTGTAGGATATCCAACTAATGCGGATAACCTATTTTTCTCGCTCATTTTGTAAAGTTTTTTTAGTATGTTTCACCTATCATTTTATTTGGATTTTTGTAACTAATATTATAATATTTAATAAAATTATAACTGTCATGTCATAAAAATTAATATAATTGCACTCTTTTTTAATTAGGTAAGTAAAATTATATTTTTATTGTGTACACATTACAATATTGTAACTATATATATATTCTTTCTTCTGATTTTACATTTATTTTAACATTTAAATTTTAAATTACTCATGCTTATTTTAATCATTTTAACTAGGAACATATTTTAAGTCAATTATTTGAAGCAAGTAATATATAGTTTTTAATTTTCCTTGGGAAATAAATTTATAAAAATAAATCATAACCATATCAATTTATTTTGTCTTTTCATTTGTAGAGATCTTTTATTAATATCAACTTGTGTGGTATATAAGATTTACGTTGTCCATTTTAAATTTATTATTTTGTGCTTTTGTAATACTGTTATGTTTATTATTATAATATAATATTCAAATTATATGAAAATTGGGTTACTCATTATATCATATAATAATAGTCAATAATATATGGTGAATTGTACATTTATATTGTTTTTTTTTTTCTCGAAGTATATAACTCCAACACAGAGTCTTTAATGTAATTTGATTATAAATGTGATACATACTATTAAGTAAAATTTTGTTTTAATTATGATTTTTATACAAAATATTTATTTATATTTAATAACTTGTGCATGTGCACAGGATTTATACTAGTTGAATTTGACTACTTACTACTTTGCTGGCACGTTTTATTTAAATTGCTCCGTTTTTTCCGTTTAATAGGCTAATACAAATCATTTGTTGTACAAATCTTATACTTATTTTAAGTATCACCTCACCTCCGTGGTATTTTCTCCAGATTTTCTGGAATTTTCTCTTCATCATTGCGTTATATACACGTCTACAACATTTTTTTTTCCAGTATTATATTTTTTCTTTTGTGTATTATGTAAATGCATAATTTTAACAAAATATATTAATAAATACAAATATTTATAATAGTAATATATTCTCATTTGTTAAAACCAATTACTACATGAACCATAAAATATATTTTTATTTCATAAGATTATATATTTAAGAAAAAGATGAAAATTTATTTGATATACCGCCCATGTTGAATTTAATACTTTCTTGTTATATTTAAAATAGTTAAAAAAATGAAACAAGAAGGGTTGATCCAACATGACCAAATTATGAGTCATTATCGCTAGACCAAATAATTAAAAGTATAATATTAATTAAAAATATTTTATTACGATAAATATAATGCAGTCTTTTCAAATTATCATATTAAGAATAAAATTGTAATGTTGTCTATGCTCCAAATAATAAGAATATTTTATGACAACATGTTCAATGATATTTGTGTATGATTTTGTTAATATTTATGAGAACAAAAATGAAATTGTATTACAATTTTTATTAATTACGATATATTCAAGGTTCTTAGAACCAGACCATTATATTATTATTTATTCGATTGGACTATAATTTACTTTATTAATAGTTTAATATATGGTAATTTTTGTAATAAATTCATATAATAAGTTTTAATTAAATATCTTAACAATTTAATTTTTAAAATGTTTCAACTAATTGATATATATCTCTATTTTATATAAATATGTATTTTTACTAACAATGGGTAGATCATGAGAAATGTTATTTATAAATTTAGTTTATTATACGATCGTAATATTATTTCTTCATATATCACATGGACACACACTAATAATAATAATAATAATAATAATAATAATAATAATAATAGAAAGATAATTGTGGAGCCCCATTTAAATAAAGTGGTGATATTATGATTGATATATGGGAAATAAAAATTCCACAAAGAAGAAAACCGTGTTGTGCACTGCCCCTATTCCCACTTCCGGACTTTTGGAAGTCAGAAAGAATAAGAGTGCTACTAAATAAGCATGAATGATACTATCTTTTTACATCAAACGGAAAGAAAGTTTATTACTTTCAATTCAACTTTACCTGGTCCTACCACCTCACGGGAACGCGTATGTAATGTATCTTGCCTTAATCTTCGCTTCGCTTAATAATTATAATAACTAAGAAATTGACCATCCTAACCAACTTTGTCCAATTCAATTCCGGTGATTGGATACTAGAAAATTGAACCAACACCAACAGGACACGCCAAACCTAGCTACTTATTAATTACGAATTCTATTCACTCCCACATAACGAAATATAAGGAAAATTAGTGGTAATTTATAAACAATGAGTTAGTTAACTTCACCCAAATGGATGGATGGAAGTAATCTTGTTAGCACCCTATAAAATCGTTTACAAACAAAGAAATCTAAACAGAAATAGCGCCAAAAACATTACTGCATATATATGGAATAGGAATGAATAACAAGAAGAAATAAATATAGATTAAAATTTGTTTTTACATTTAATTTGATAACTTTGATTGAAATTGTTAATGTTTATTTGATATTCTTAAATATGAAAATGAGTGACCTAATATTTGTTGAGTTCAATCATTTGCTAGATTTTTTTTCCATATATTAGTTCATTTTGTAAATATGAAGCGTTGCACCTAAAAATATCTGATTACGGAAGTTCCAAAAGGATGAAATCCCAAACACGGTTAAACAAGGCTCACTGAGCATACTAGCTTAAACATGAGTAAACAATGCCCAAGACCACAGTGTTAGGGTTATTCATCCTCCAATAGGCCACTGATCGCTCTCGAAGTCTTCTCGAAAAAGTTTGTTGATCACCCTTAAATCTGAATTATGAATTGATAAAGTTGATGACATTGCTCAATCTATGCCATCAAACTCTGTAAAGATACGCGGCACCACTCTACGACCCTATATGGCACCTAGCATGTAATTTGTCATCACTTTTTTTCTTATATAACTACAGACCCCCTCTATAGGTCCAATTAAAATTAATCATCGCTTGATAACCACTCATAAACACCATATCACTATACGTAGCTTCCTCATAATGTGATCTTCCGAGATCATTCATAGATACACTCACAATACTCGATTGTATGTTCATTGTACAAATTTCTCAATAAAATCCCGGAGCCAGTCGAGCAGCCATTATAGTTAGTCAGCTGAGCATCAGTTATAGTTATCCAGTCGAGCAACAATTATAGACAGTCAACTAAACAGTAATTATAGGCAGTCTGTTAAGTAGCTTTTATAGATAGTTTGCCGATTTAAGTAATTTCTGGATGATGTTTAATCAGTTAGTAAAATGTTCATCATCATATCTTTTCTGTCGATTCAGTAAGTACCTGCTTATATGTCGATGTCATGATATGTTATTACATTAGCTGTATATTTCAGTGTTGGTTTCTGCGGAGCATCGTTGATTCTTTTATGCTCACGCCCCCCACTAATCATTTTTTCAGGTGACGGTGTCGAGCGTGGAGCGTGAGCCGATGATGTGGTAGTGGTCATAGCAAGGATATTTTTAATAAGCATGTCATGTATACTTGAACATGTTTGAGTTATTATTATGCTTTGTTGACGCATACTTGCATTTGCTTCCGCACTCAGTATTTCAGTATCTAGAATTCCAGTCTATGTATGCTTAAATCCTTAATTGTTCAGAGAAATGAATTATACTCGATTGCATGCCTAGTAGTAGTAAAGATATTAAATATTAAAGATTTAAGATTAAAGGTGAGTAGCATCCCGCATATTAAAGTTAAAGTATTTTCGAAAAATTAATATGAGTTTTCGAAAATTAAATAAAAGCTTTCCTTTTATAGCGCGAAAAATTTACTCTGATTTTACTAAGTCTAGGCGGGATGTTACAAATTAAATCTAAGTTTAATAAAAATATATATATTATAATATCAGTCAAAATCATACAAATATTGCTTTTGCCCCAATATTTTTCAGTTACCCATTGTTTCAACACATTTTCAGCATAATAATAATAATAATAATAATAATAATAATAATAATAATAATAATTTCCAGTCAATTAGCTTGTCACGATCTCTTATAATCATTAAAAAATATATATACTAAAATTTACATCACAAATAAAGTCATTCATGTTATGCAATTTATATTTAATTGTCTATTTTTATTTATTTTGACATTTAAAAACTAACTTATTCCTATAAATTTTTATTTGCATACTTAAGTCTGTACAAGATAGACTACAAATTATTATAAAATTATATTGTCACGTGTCCTAATTAGTTACAATATTGGGTGATCATCAACAAGTTCGTAATAATAATAATAATCTATGTCTAATTGTTGGAAAAAAAAATTATGATAATTGTCTTTGTAACAACAAATTTTATGGAAAACATAAAACTTTTGTACAACTTAATTTATTTTGATCAAACGATATGCGGGTACAATCTCTATTTATCTTCTCTGATTCTTCTCTTCATGAATTTGGGATTGAGACCTTAAAAGATGGATTTGACGATTGAATCTCCTTCGTGCTTAGTCTTGAATTTCTCTAACATTAATTTGGGAGTCGAATGACTTACTCCCGTATTAAATGTTAGACCTTGACTTGATTGGAGAAGCCTTCTTGGAGGACTTGATTCTTTGATCTTCTTGAAAGATGGACTTTGACTTGAATAACGTTGACTCGAGGGTTTGATAGCTTTTTCCCGGGTCAAATGCTATGTTGGTTGAACTTCTCAACGAACGCAGCTTGAATGTTGCTTGAACGTCGTTGATGTTCATGAATGATTTGAGAGGAATGGATGTCGCCTCTTTATTGGAGGACCGCCATCTCTTTTTCTTCTTCTTGGCCTTCTTCTTCATTGAATGAACTTCGAGCGACTCTTCAAAAACTTCTTCAAATCTTCAAGAGGGTTTTGAGAGCCCTTGAATTTGAGACTTTAATATTTGAGATGTGTTTGATATTTTTTAGGTGTTTGAGGTGTGATTTGTGGCACTGAGGAGAGCCCTACTTATAGGTGTAGGAGAGAGAGTCTTGGATAAAAAGGCTTCAATTTGATTGGTCCTTCATGATTTGACGCAATCTCTTTCCTTCTCCTAAGATTTGATATAATCTTTTTCCTTGTCCTAAGATTTGACTTGATGGGCTAGAAATAATTACTTTATTAATTAAATATCATATTTATCTTGAATTTATATCCCAGAATAAATAAAGACATTAATTAATAAAATATTAAAATTTTGATGTCTACAAATGCTCCCTTGAGACTTGTTCACGGACAAAATGTCTTGGTAGTGAATGAGTCTCAAAATTTTAGATTGGTTTGAACATGCAGATAGTTTAAAATCTTATCTAGGAGTTCTTCGACTTGAGTTTGTAGATAGTTTAAACTCATATCAGGGAGGTATTCATTTGACTTGATTTGTAGATAGTTTAAACTCGTATCAAGGAGTCTTCATTTGTTTTGAGAAATAGTTTATACTCGTATCAAAGAGTTCTTGATTTGACTTGATAGATAGTTTATACTCATATCAAGGAGTTCTTCATTTGGCTTGATTTGTAGTTAGTTTAAACTCGTAACAAGGAGTCTTGATTTGATTTGACAAATAGTTTATACTCGTATCAAGGAGTCTTCAAATTTGTAGACATTTTATGTTCGTATCAAGGAGCCTTCAAATTTGTAGACATTTTATGCTCGTGTCAAGGAGCCTTCAAATTTGTAGACATTTTATGCTCGTGTCAAGGAGCCTTCAAGTTTGATATGTAGACCTTTTATTCTCGTGTCAATGAGATCTTGATATGAAGACATTTTATGCTCGTGTCAAGGAGCCATATAGATAGTTTAGGCTCATATCAAGGAGCATATTAGATAGTTTAAGCTCAAATCAATGAGCATTTGAATATGTAGATAGTTTAGGCTTATATCAAGGAGTATCAATGATTTGGTGGAGCTCTTCATGCAAATTGCCCCTATGGAATTTGAGAAGTATATGGAAGACCGGTTTTGTTTCTCCTCCATTCGGATGAAGGTTTCATGACTTCAAGAGACATCATCCTTAATTGTCTTCTTGTACATCGCCTTCAAAGAGGTCTTCATGCATCTTCAAAGATCTTCGAACTTAATTTGGAGAGAGAGATGAGAGGTAGAGAAAGTCCCACCGGGAGTGCCAAATTTGTAACAACAAATTTTATGGAAAACATAAAATTTCTGTACAACTTGATTTATTTTGATTAAACGATATGCGGGTACAATCTCTATTTATCTCCTCTGATTCTTCTCTTCATGAATTTTGGATTGAGACCTTGAAAGATGGATTATTGAATCTCCTTCGGGCTTAGTCTTGAATTTCTCTAACATTAATTTAGGGGTCGAATGACTTATTCCCGTATTAAATGTTAGGCCTTGACTTGATTGAAGAAGCCTTCTTGAAGGACTTGATTCTTTGATCTTCTTGAAAGATGGACTTTGACTTGAATAACGTTGACTCGAGGGCTTGATAGCTTTTTCCCGGATCAAACGCTATGTTGGTTGAACCTCTCAACAACCGCGGCTTGAATGTTGCTTGAATGTCGTTGATGTTCTTGAATGATTTGAGAGGAATGGATGTCGCCTCTTTATTGGAGGACCACCATCTCTTTTTCTTCTTCTTGGTCTTCTTCTTCATTGAATGAACTTCGAGCGGCTCTTCAAGAACTTCTTCAAATCTTCAAGAGGGTTCTTGAGAGCCCTTGAATTTGATACTTTAATATTTGAGACGTGTTTGATATTTTTTAGGTGTTCGAGGTGTGATTTGTAGCATTGAGGAGAGCCCTACTTCAAGAACTTCTTCAAATCTTCAAGAGGGTTCTTGAGAGCCCTTGAATTTGATACTTTAATATTTGAGATGTGTTTGATATTTTTTAGGTGTTTGATGTGTGATTTGTGGCATTAAGGAGAGCCCTATTTATAGGTATAGGAGAGAGAGTCTTGGAGAAGAAGATTTCAATTTGATTGGTCCCTTCCTGATTTGACACAATCTCTTTCTTTCTCCTAAAATTTGATGTAATCTCTTTCCTTATCGTAAGATTTGACTTGATGGGCAAGAAATAATTACTTTATTAATTAAATATCTTCTTTATCTTGAATTTATATCCCACAATAAATAAAGACATTATTTAAATATTAAAATTTTGATGTCTACAGTCTTTGTTTTCCTGCTTTATTCCATTACATTTTGCATTAATTAAACTGATAGTTCTTTTATTTATTTTACTATCTAACATGTGCTACGCTTTAATCATAAAGTCACATTAATTATATTATATTATATTATTTCCAAACTATTTATTTGAAGTTATATTTTTAGCACATTAAGCAAGTTTTTATTAAGATTATAAAATTGTTTTTTTATGGCATAACCAAATCTTATAAAATTTTGTACCTAACTATAGTAATAATTTAAATATTGTTTTCTATAATCACCCAATCAAAAATTACACTATTGAAATAACTATAAAAATTTATATAATACTTTATTTTTATTAATGATAAAATTATAAAATGTATTACGCATATATAGCATAACAAATATGTTTGCATTATTATACTTGTAATTTTGAATATTAACCAAGAGCCCCACTAGTAAAAAAATAAAATAAGGAAGAAAAGGGAAAAAAAAATACCTTCCGACGCCCGCAGTCTAAATGGTGTATGAGAACCTCCACCAGGTCGGAGCCGGAGAAGCAGTTCTTCACTAACTTCATCTTCATGATTCGATCCTGAATCGGAACCCTCTGCCTCACCACCCTCACCATCTCCGCAGCCTCGTCCTCCTCCTCATCTCCCGCCTCGTCCAACCCATACACCGGCGGTGCCGGCGCGTCCTCCGGGCACTTCCTCCCCAGAATCTCCTCCAGCTTCGCCTCCAGCATCCCGGCGTTGCGCAGCGAGTTTAGCGCCACCAGTCCTCCGATTAGTTTCTCGTTGAAGAATATCTGTGGCACGGAGACGCCGCCGGTCCTCTCCCTCAGCTCCATCTCCCGACTGGGGTACACGTCAACGTTAATCTCAATGAAATTCAAATTTCTGTCGCGCAGGAAGGACCGGACGGCGCCGCTGTCCCTGCAATTGGACCGGGAGAAGAAGCTCACTCTCCCCTTGACTTCCTCCTTGGGCGCCTTCACCACCTTGAGGCCCACCAGATCGAACTCCTTCACCACCGCATCCTCGTCTTGCCTTTTCAGGGAGGATAGGCGCTTTGTAATCGCCGCCGAGAGGCTGCTGCTCTTCTGGCGGAGGAACTTCCCGATCGCCGCCGCCGGAGCGTCAATCGTCTCCGGCGAGGATCGCGACCGCTGGATTATCATCCCCGGCGGCGGCTCGGGCTTGGGGAGGTGCGATGATTTCCATTGGTAATCAGAATTCCAGTGGTATCCACCTTTTACAATTCCAATTCCATATGTTTTCTGGGGAAGTTGAGAATTGTCGTCTTGCGTTTGGATATGGCGATTGACGGCGTCGGATTTATTAGTCGGATATGCTTTCTCATCTAAATCCTCCTCAACGGAATTCCCTTTCGTAGTGGACCAAGGACAATTCATTTCCTTCAATAATTAATCAATTAAAAAAAAAAAGAAATAAAAAATGGAGGAAATGAGAGGAGGAAGGTTTTGGGGGTGAAGAAGGTTGTTTTTTTTTTTTTTTTTTTTTTNTTTTTTAAATATTGAAGAAGATTGTTAATTAAGAAGAATGGTGAGGAAATGGAAAGAGAGGGGAGCGAAAGAGTCGGGAATAGCTGTTGTGAATATTGTGTGTCTATATTTGTTCAATCCTTTATGCATAATAATTGACAAAATTTTGGTAATGATGAATATGCTTAAATTACCACCAGAATTGGTCAATTTCCTGTGTAAAAAAAAAAAAAAAA